GGAGACGGAGGTTGCAGTGAGCCGAGATCGCGCCATTGCACTCCAGCCTGGGTAACAAGAGCGAAACTCCGTCTCAAAAAAAAAAAAAAAAAAACTCTAACCTCATTAGCAATTTTAACTATTGTCAATAACCTCATTAGCAATTTTAACTATTGTCAACATCCCATACTCCTTGGATTTTTTAGGGTTTTCCCAAAGCAAATGGGAAGATTTGTTGCCAAAGCTCACTTCGGGTAGTCACCAGGCCCAGAACATTCTTGTCCTCACAAATTTTCACTTCCTTCATTTAAGAACAAAGACTAGAGTGTTCTCACTTAATTTCAACTGGGATAGGTGGGAGGGAGTTACCCATGTGGGCAACATTAGGAAAACTTTTTTTTTGAAACAGGGTCTTGCTCTGTTGCCCAAGCTGGAGTGATGATGCAATCATGGCTCACTGCAGCCTCGACTTCCTGGGCTCAAGCAATCCTCCTGTCTTAGCCTCCTGAGTGGCTGGGACTACAGGCACACACCAACACACCCCATTCATTTTGCATTTCTTGTAGAGATAGAGTTTTGCCATGTTTCCCAGGTTGGTCTCAAGTGATCCTTAGAGAAACATTCTACCAAACCAGAAGTGACAGAGCAACTCCCAGCAAGCCTTTAGTGGGCACTGTCCTTTTCAGGGAGCTGAATAGAAGAGGGGTCTCAGAGCCGTAACACCTGTGCTGCCCATGATGGTGGAAAAGGGAAGTCTAAAAAGTGTGGGTCTGAGCTGGGGCCTAGGAAAAGTTCATTGGGCAGTGATTTGGCCTTTTCTACCCATCTCCTTGTAAAAATATTATTTTAACAATCTGGCTGGGTGCGTGGCTCACACCTGTAGTCCCAGCACTTTGGGAGGCCAAGGTGAGTGAATCACCTGAGGTCAGGAGTTTGAGACCAGCCAGCCAACATGGTGAAACCCTGTCTCTACTAAAAATACAAAAATTAGCCAGGTGAGGTAGCATGTACCTGTAATCTCAGCTACTTGGGAGGCTGAGGCAGGAGAATCTCTTGAACCTGGGAGATGGAGGTTGCTGTGAGCTGAGACTGCACTATTACCCTCCAGCCTGGGTGACAGAGGGAGACTCCTTCTCCAGAAAAACCAAACCAAAACAAACAAAACAAAAAAAACAAGAAAACCCAACCAAACAAAAAGAACAATCTTTCCCCCATGACCTTGCCTCTCTCTAACCTCCCAGAGTATTTCTGAGGTCTCAGTAGACCTGAGCTATCAGAAAATTTCCTTACCGTGACTCTTTGTTTATTGTGCAATTACCTGAAGATAGCCTTCTGATGGCATTCTTTCCTCTCCTTTCCTCGTGTGTCATCATTATTTCTTGCTTCTTCCTGTCTTGTGCTCACTCTCTGAAATCTGATCTATCCTTTAGTCCTATCTCAGATGTCCTTATGAAGCCAGACCGGACAGAGACACTTTCCTTCACTGGAGCCCATGGCACTTAGCTGCTATGGCAATTGTGCTCATCGGCAAACGGGAACGTGCTTGCATTAGACTTATCCTTTCACCATTCTTTAGGTTTCTTAAAGCAGGGACTGTTCTGTACTTAGCCCTGCTCATGGCATGTTGTATTCGCTTGATAATTATTCCTTGAATTTAACCAGAAATTCCAATTTGGAAAGAGAGGACATGTATACACCTAGCATGGTATATTTAAATAAACTGGAGATAATTTTCCTTGAGAAATACCTCCTATTTAAACCTTTGCCACACGGGTATAGGCCTGGAAATAAAAGGTGTGGCTAAAAGCTACCTGCTCGGAGAACTCTTTTCTTCAGATTTTCTTTACAGATTCTTCAAGCTGTAAAATAAACTAATACCGTCTCTCATCACCTATAATTAGGAAGTTATGAATAACTCTTTCCTGGGGACCTACTGAGTCAGAGGTTCACACCTGGTTGGGCAAGTAGTGGGTGTGATCAGTGACGAATATTTTTTTGGTTTCAGCACCAGCATCAGCTATTTATGTATCAATGATGCAAATCTCCGTATGCAGAGTCCTTGATATTGCTCAGAGTGCTTTCATACCCGTGCCCAAACAGGACCGAGTGGGGCTGGCTGCCGAAAAAAGGAACTTGATAAAGCAGGTTCAAAGGGTCCCTCCCTGATTTCTTGCACTGGAAGAGTTAGCCTTCTTTGGGAAGGGTAACACAGTGGGAAAAGAGAAGTGGAATGTCACAGCTCTGACAGCCATAGCATGGAGATAGCCAATTAGATACAAGAGTCGGAAGCTTCGCAGAGAGCATGGCTGGAGAGTACATTTCAAAGTCATTGCCATAAAAACAGGAATGAAACCCTGACAGTGGGTGGGATCACCTGGGAGGGTACAGAGGAAGAGCAGGATGGATTGAGAATGGAGTCCTAACGCTTGGGTGGTGCATGGAGGCCAGAACACCTGAACAGGCCAGGAAGGTGTGGGCAGAGAGGCCAAGGAGAGAGAGAGAAGTTACTGTGGAAATTGATAACTTCAGTAAATGAGGGAGAGGTCAGCTGTAAGGTAAGAACCAAGAAGAGTCCACTGGATTTGGCGTGGAGCAAAGGGATGGAGTGAGTGGAGTAAAAGTGAAGATGAGGCGGGGCGCGGTGGCTCACACCTGTAATCCCAGCACTTTGGGAGGCCGAGGCAGGTGGATCACCTGAGGTCAGAAGTTCAAGACCAGCCTGGCCAACATGGTGAAACCCCATCTCTACTAAAAATACAAAAAGTTAGCCGGACGTAGTGGCACATGCCTGTAGTCCCAGCTACTTGGGAGGCTGAGGCAGGAGAATTGCTTGAACCCGGGAGGTGGAGGTTGCAGTGAGCCGAGATTGTGCCATTGCACTTTAGCCTGGGCAATAAGAGCGAAACTCTGTCTCAAAAAAAAAAAAATAAATAAAATAAATAAATAAATAAAAACAAAAAAAACTTTATTGACTGCAAAGAATAAACGAAAATGGTCCAGGCATGGTGGCTCACACCTGTAATCCCAGCACTTTGGGAGGTCGAGGTGGGCAGTTCACAAGGTGAGGAGTTTGAGACCAGCCTGGCCAAGGTGGTGAAGCCCATCTCTACTAAAAATAGAAAAATTAGCTGGGCATGGTGGCAGGCGGGTGCCTGTAATCCAGGCTCAAAAGGCTGAGGCAGGAGAATCACTTGAACCCAGGAGGTGGAGGTTGTAGTGAGCCAAGATCGCGTCACCGCACTCCACAGCCTGGGTGAGAGAGTAAGACTCCATCTCAAAAAAAAAAAAAAAAAAAAAAAAAAAAAAAAAAAAAAAAAAAAAAAAAAAAAAAAAAAAAAAAAAAAAAAAAAAAAGATGGAAGGTGGATTTCCATGGTGCCAGAGAGGAATGGAAGTCAGGAGAGCATAGTGGACATGGAGATGTGCTGCTCAGATCTCCCCCAAAAAAGGACTCGTTGCTCACCTATGGGAGAGTGGTCAGCAGACAGCTTCCAGCTACCAGCTCCTTCACTTCAGGGTCCACTGGCTGCAGAGAGCTGCCTGGCCCCTCTCCCTGATCACAGCCTTTCTCTGGGCAGCCCCATGTGGTGACTGAGCAGGGCTGGTTATAAATGCCTGGCTCGTTCAGTCCAACTTGCTTTGCTTTAATGGACAATACCACCCCCAGCTCTCTGAAGAGTTTTGAGAGGTGTGGTTGGGCCCACAGCTCAGTTTAACTTCTCCTTCTGCTCAATCCGGCTTCCTTGCCCTCATTCACAGGTGTTAATTCCTAATTAACATCTTGCACCCCAACTTTATCTCAGCAGGTTTCCAGAGAACATGGTCTCCAGCAGAGTGGTGGAAATAAGTATTTTGGAGAGTTTGATTGAGAGCAGGGGTTGGGGGGCAGGAAGGAAGGAGGAAGGAAAATTGGGGGGGGTGACGCACCTATAGTCCTAGCTATTGGGAGGCTGAGGTGAGAGGATCACTTGAGCCTAGGGGTTCAAGGCTGCAGTGAGCTGTGATTTTGCGACTGCACTCCAGCATTGGTGATAGAGCGAGACCCTGTCTCAAAAAAAAATGTGGGTGGACTGTCAAGATGGATTTTGTGCACTGATTCTGGAATTCAATGGGCTTGCGATTTCTTCAAACTGTGCCATATATATGCCAAGCATAGCCTCTACATAATGTGCAGACATGATAAAAGTATTGGACAGAGCAGGATTGAGGTGAGAACCCTCTAGCACCTTAAGATATTACAACTTAATCAGTTCCAATTTCTCCTAACTGTACCATTACCTATTCCGTATTTCTCCATTTATTCCAGAAGTATATACTTTGGAATGTCATGAAATGGCTTAATCAAAGGGAGACCCCTGGGCTATCACGCTCTCTGGTTCTGTCTGTCTAGTAACCCTGATGAGAGAGCATGGAATGAGGATAGCCTGCCATGACCTGCCCTGGCGGAGCCCCCAGGGGCGTGGTGACTACACTCAGCCCTTCTCAGGGCTCAAAAACACTTTACAAAACACCTTTCTGTATGCCATATGAGGGTTTTTGCCTGCAGTCATCACCAAGGCCCCTGATCTGTGGTTTTTTTTCTTTTTTCTTTTTGAGACAGTCTTGCTTTGTCACCTAGGCCGGAGTGTAGTGGCGCCATCTTGGCTCACTGCAAGCCTTGACTTCTTCGGCTCAAACGATCCTCTTGCCTCAGTCTCCCAGGTAGCTGGGACTACAGGTGCGCACCACCAAACCTGGCTAAGTTTTGTATTTTCCGTAGAGATGTATTTTGCCCAGGCTGGTCTTGAACTCCTGAACTCAAGTGATCCACCTGCTTCAGCCTCCCAAAGTGCTAGAGTTACAGGCATGAGCCACCACACCTGGCCTGATCTGTAGTTTTCAACATTCATTTTTTTTTCCACAGTCATTTTTTTTTCCATCTTTGGGAGCCAGAGCCACACAATCTCCAAATTCTAATACTTCTCTGCCTCTTTGTGATTCCTCAGAGATTATTTATAGTGACTTGGAGATACGCTCAGTTAATTTTCATTTTGGTACTTGGGAATGTAACCCATTCAGAACAGGAGGTTTGAACACATTTGGAACAGCTACAGTTGCTATGTTTTTTTTTTTTCCCCAGGTGTTATGGTGATTACTACTTAGCAATGGCTGTTCTGCTGTTTCCTAGTCAAATGCCATGCTGCTTACTGAGAAGCCAGGGGCACTGTGAGTCTTCTGCTTTCACTTATACCAAGACCAAACTTCCTTACCTTTCCATGTGGGAAACCAGACACCATCAAGATCAATGCCCTGTGTCTCCTTATGTAGTGAGTGATAAATGCTCATGGAAGCCAGGTGTGGTAGCTCATGCCTATAATCCCAGCACTTTGGGAGGCTGAGGTAGGTAGATCACGAGGTCAGGAGTTTGAGACCAGCCTTGCCAACATGGTGAATACCCTGTCTCTACTAAAAACACAAAAATTAGCCAGGCGTGGTGGCGGGTGCCTGTAACCCCAGCTACTTGGGAGGCTGAGACAGGAGAATCGCTTGAAACTGGGAGGCGGAGGTTGCAGCGAGCCAAGATTGTGCCACTGCATTCCGGCCTGTGTGACAGAGCAAGACTCCGTCTCAAAAAAAAAAAAAAAAAAAAAAAAAAAAAAAAAAAAAAAAAAAAAAAAAAAAAAAAAAAAAAAGGAAAATGGTCATGGTGGAAAATTAGGAGAAAACTAAAGGGTGAAAGGGAATAACTCTAAAAAGGACACGTTCACGCTTTCTGACAGTGTAGTTGCATGTTTTCAATTTATTTTGGCCACCAGATGGCATAACTGGGTTCGTTGAGTTAAAGAGGAGGCCACTACCCTGAAAAAACAAAACCCCCAGATAATTAATGGTGAAAATGCCCCTGAGAAAGCTCATTTCTAATTCTTACTCCCAGCTGGCTTTTTATACATAGGCAGGGAGGACCCATCTTTGGAATTTTAAGGTTCAAAAGGAATTTGTCTGTACCTGATGGCCAGAAAACTGCATCAAAAGTGTCAACTGGCGCTTAGAACTGCCTGTTCTAAGAATTAGAAATGAACTTGTGTCTATCTGCTTCTTTTTTTTTTTTTTTTTTTACATAAATTAACCCATTTATTATAGGCCAGTGGTGTCTCAAAATGTAGAGGAACGTCTACTGGTCTTTCAATTCCTTCAGTCTTCTGATGGCGGACTTTACCGTGACAGCGGAAGTGGTGTTGTACGTCCAGGCACCGCCAGCCACTGTCTTCATGCAGGAACCACAGTGCCAGATGCCCATAGCTCGTCTCTTCATCTTGGTTTTGCCACAGAAAGAGCAAGTGTACTTGGCATGCTGGCTGATTTCAATTTTCTTCACCATTTTCCTGAGGGAGGCCCCATAGCAGGTCCCGTATTTACCGACAATCCCAACTTTCTGGGTACGTTTGGCCACATTGCCTGTCTGAGCCCAGAGAGACGTCTATCTGCTTCTAACGCACACCTTCCTTTGATGTAAACTGCTTGCTGTTGAGCCGTTGCATCTCGGAGCGTGAAGAGGGTGGTGAGGGATTGTTGCTGATATTAGCATTGTTGGGACATTTTGTCAGGAGAAGGGCTGACTGCCCTGTGGAATCTGAGGATGAGTGGCGTTGGCCCCTAAGGATTAGTTTGTCCCTCTCGGTTTCATTTGAATATGATTTGGAACTTGGGGGATTTGGGTTAGGGCAAGAAGGGAACTGAGAAAGTAAAAACGGTCAGTGCTTGTTTTGTGCTTCTGCATATTTTGGACCCTGAGGGATTTTAAAGGTCTATTTCTAATATTTGTTTTAGGTGGATAGATTTGTTTGTTCAACAAGCATTCCAGGCACCATTTAGGGGCTGGGGATAAATAGTAAAGAAGGCAGAGATCCAACTTTCAAGGAGTTTTCTAATTTTGGTTTACAGTCCCTCAGGGACAAGATGGAAACCCCACGAGAGGCTCTTTGAGTGCGGCCCCAGGGAGCACTCAGTGCCCAGATGTGTGAAGGGGGTGCAGCTCCTGGTGAAAGCAGAAGCCCTTTAAAACTTTATTGACTGGCCGGGTGTGGTGGCTCACGCCTGTAATTCCAGCACTTTGGGAGACTGAGGTGGGCAGATCGTGAGGTCAAGAGATTGAGACCATCTTGGCCAACATGGTGAAACCCCATCTCTACTAAAAGTACAAAAATTAGCTGGGCATGGTGGCATGCGCCTGTAGTCCCAGCTACTTGGGAGGCTGAGGCAGGAGAATTGCTTGAACCCGGGAGGGGGAGGTTGCAGTGAGCCAAGATCGCGCCACTGCACTCCAGCCTGGTGCCTGGCAAGAGAGTGAGACTCTG